GATTCATAACAGTAGCAACATTACAGTTATGAAGTAGCAACGAAAATAATTTTATGGTTGGGTCACAATATGAGGAACTGTATTTAAAGGGCCAGAAGGTTGAGAACCACTGTAGGTGGTCTCTAAATAAGGGTCTGGAGGCTGGGCGGGCACATAGCATTGATAACCATCAGGAAAACCATGGAGGTGTCTCCAGAAAATGCACGCATGCAGTTTTTGTAGTTTGAGATAAGTTTTCCTGAAACCCATCCATGATCTCCTTTATTCATGAACCAGAATGTAAGAACCTCTCTCCTTAACGTACAGATAGGAACATGCGCTGTTTCCGGTTCCTTCCCACCAGAAGTGAGGTAACCCACCTTGTCAAGTTCTGTGACTCCCCATCAGGTCAGTTCAGGAGTATTATCTGTCCTTATTGTCATCCTGGTACCAACGGACATAGTTAACTTTCTGGAGAAGTCTTTCATGATAGGACTCTCCATGCTCTCTTGGTTTTTCTTCGTTTGTTTGTGTTTTTTTTTTCACAGTCTCTTTGGTGGATTCCTCTATCTCACCTCAAAATATTGGCGCACCAGTGCCAGGGGCTACTTCTCAGCCTTCTCTCTGACAAAGTGATCCCCAGAGCACCATAGCTTTAAATACCATCTACTTCCAGAAGCTGGAAGTCCAGTCCCAGCTTCTTCCATGTTTGGCATCGTATTAGATCCTGGTGTCTAAAATGCATCTCAAACCTAACATGCCGGAAACAGAATTCTATTTTACTCCAAATCTGCTTTCTCTATGCTTCCTTATGAGGACTTAGAAGAACTTTAATATCATAATTTGTGGTTCAACATTTGTATTTCTGCAGTTTGCACTCTGAGGCTGCTTGCAGAGCACGACTCTGCTCCTTGGACTTGGAAACTGCCTGCAGAAAGAACAGTCCATACTGTTTGACTTCTGTTGATGAGTAACCCAAATGCTTTTGTTCTACAAGCCTGAGGGGAACTAGGATGTTAATAAATGCCTAATCATGGGTTACCCACTGTACTTTTTTTTAAAGTATATTTTTATTGATATCAGAATGGAAGAAAGAGATAGAAGCATCAATGATGAGAAAGAGTCATTGATCAGCTGCCTCCTGCCCTCCCCACACTGGGGATCAAGCCTGCAACCTGGGCATGTGCCCTGACTGGGAATAGAACTGTGACCTCCTGGTTCATAGGTCAACACTCCATCACTGGGCCATGCTGGCTGGGCAGTTACCCACTGTTCTTGTAGCACAGCCCCACCTGCTGACTATTGAGTAAGCTGATGGTTAAAATGTCCAGTTGTCCCCACCAATCAGAAAATGAATAATGCAAGTTTGTTGCCTTGTTTCCCCTAGCAACCCATCTCTTTGATCATTAGCTCCTTTCAACTTTTGCCTTTAAAATCCTAAACTTATCCCCTCCATTTTGTAAGAT